CGATGTCTCTTCTGCAGGATAACTAGCTAATATCTTAAATCTGCACATTGAAAACAAAAAGGCAAGAAAAGACACTAATCCCTCATGAATATCTTGGAGGCCATTTTGTTAGAATAGATCTAGTTTGTCAAACAAGTTTCCGAATGTGCATTTAATTGGCTTCTCGATTTCAAAAGTTTTAAACACTTTTTCATATTGCCATATAATAGAAAAGACTTTATAATTAAGTAAAGTACTGAAATCAGCTTTAGCCGCCTAAGAGAAAGCAGAGTGGAACTTCATCCTGCCCCCCCAACAGTAAAACCCCATTAGGTTTAAATTTGAGGGCTTCATATCTATGAAATTAAAGAGGGAAAGAATCAGGTTTGAAAACCCCACAAATCACAGCAATTTGGATTTCTTTAAGAGTTGGTCTTCAAAAGCAGAGTTACTCTTAAAGGTGAATCCTAATTACATTTCTGATCTAAAGAGATATAGTATAAAACAGTCAGTAAATTTTCTCTATGAAAATAAGGCAAATAAAATAAAATGAAAAATAATTTTCACTGTATATTAAAAAGGCATATGTACAGTTAAGTGCTTATGATTAACAAAAGGTACAATAATTAGAAGAACAGGGTAAATTCTCAAAATTGTTCACCTGGAATAAGATGTTAGCCTTTGACTACCTGGGAATAAAAGGTTTAATCTCGAAACCTGGAGAACAATAATCATGCTGTAYGCCCACTTTCCCATTTTGCCCGTGATAGGATGCACACATTTCTTTAGGGAGAGGCCCATGAATTCTTTCAAGTGCTGCGCTGGTGTGATGCTCATGACAGTTTCTACTTCTAAATTCACAAAGGCATTTGCAAACCATGCCAGTGCACGAGGCATTTGAACTAAAAACTGCACAGAGGACTCAATGCTCTGATTAGACACTGGGTGATCCTACTGTTCATGGAAAGCATCGTGAGGTTTTTCATCTTTTTTTTTCAAAATGCATACCTCTTTTTCTTCTGGGAAAACAAAAACAAAAACAACCAAAAATCGAAGGACACTTGTTTTTAGGAAGATGGTGTATGCATCTGTTTTAGGCCACAAAGATGGCTACAGAGTAACTGGTTCTCCATTGCCATCTACAGGCAAAATGCCATATAACATGGCATAAGGTCTTTTCAAAACTAAGCTTTTTTCAGTATCACAATCATATGCATGCTGATTAGAATGGATTTGTTCAATTAGACTGAAATGCTCTATTTGCATGAGCAAAATGCAAAATAAGAACTTTAAAGCATTAGGAAAATTATCGGTTAAAATAATAAACAGCATTAAATGGAGAAAAATAAATTGGAACTGACATCTTAGTCATCGGTTCTTCATCAAGCTGAGCAAATCTAATAATGCCTCCCTCTCCTCCCTCAGCTCTCAAAAGTCCACCGTTAAAATGTCATCTCTAATTCCACTTTATGTCTATAAATTGCATTTTAATAACCTTTTGTTTCCCTTTCTCTGGTGTGTGTGTGTGTGTGTGTGTGTGTGCGTGTGTGTGTGTGTGTGTGTGTGTGTTTAAATCTCCCAACTACTGGGGAAGGTAGCAAAGGGACAATGGAGTCTTTCTAAGAGGCAAAATGCTGCAATTCTAAGGACAGCCACGGGTCTCCACCTAATCACATTGCTTGACCCGATGTCAGACCACCTTTCGTCTTTTGGAAGGGACCTGTGATCCCTGGGAACCTTCAGCTGGTAATTACTCCCCGAGCCAACTTGAAGCCTTCATGCGAGCTTCATATAAAGTTATCATTTGTGCTTTCTTTGGTCTTAATAATGTCGTGGGTGGGAAGCAGAGAAGGAAAATAAAAATGACAACATGAACAAAAACACTACAGTTCAGAACCATAAGCACATGTTTAACTACGCTCTTGTCATAAATTACATCCGTGAATCGAGTCTGTCATGAATTTTTTTCTTTTTTTACTTTAAGAGAGAAAAAGTGTCATGAATTTCCTTATAAGTAGGTAGTGAGGTTTCTAACCAAGGAACAAGAAGTAGATCTTCGTAAAGACTAATTAAATTGTTGATTTGCCAAAAACAAAAACAAAAACAAACTGACACTATAATCTAAATAGTTTGAATTTTTTTCCAAGGGTGTACATTATTTCCAAAAAGTTGGTCCCATGATAGAGGCAACCTAAAATAAAATACATAATTTTATAGTCTCCAGGGAGATCATATATGCTAGGGAAAAAAAAATTCTGTCTGAATGAAATTTACATTGAAATCAGCTTTTTCTATCAGATAGAAGTCATGACTGTATTATATTAATTATCGAGCTTCTTATGATGTGGACAAACCAATAATTGTATTGAATTATTAAGCTGTCAAATGGGCTTCCTAGGATACACCAATTATAAAGCATATTTCTTCTACCTTCCACTTATATTCTGCCTCACAACAGAATAGTGTTGTTCAGCAGCCATACTTAAGTTTGAAATGAAATATTATTTAATGCCAGGGTTCCTTTTTCTTGTGACAGACCCATAACAATTGGTCTTTGCCATTTAAGAATGGAAACATTTTTATGGGCTTATCCAACATTATTCTGAAAGTTAATAACAAAGGCAGCCCGGCTGGCTGGGTTTCTATTTCCCAGCCCCACCCTGGGACTCATGACCTCCCTGCGGTCTTTGTGGARGGCAGGGATGTTTATGAGAGAAAAGCACCTTGGAGAAGGTGCATAAATTCACATAACACGGCAGATCAGCTTCTCGGGAAACAGCCTCTGAAATTTACATTGATATTCTCTTGAAATATTAATAATAGCAGTTAACATGTGAATCGTGTCAAAGAGCTGACAAAGGCCCTTTCTAAGATATATTTCTTCAAAAAAAAGCCAATTAATTTGAATCTGAGTCAAGTTGATAATTGTCTTTTAAAAAGTTGGTAGGTGCTGAACATGAAATAAGCATGAGACAAATATGTAACTCAGCATTCCACGGGCTACCTCGAGGTTTATAAATATATTACCGATTTGTGCAGTTTCTATGGAAAACATGTTAGTGACAAACTGAGAAATTTACATTCAAAACTGCATTCAAAAGTGATGCAATCATATTTAGGAAACAAAAAAATCAGTGGACTTTTGATTTTCAAATACTAACTGGGATGTTTTGAGAGACATTTAGATGAAGTTTTAATAAACTTATAGATATTAAGTTTCAAAATTTATTCAGGTTTGATTAAAATAAGATTTTCCCCTCAAGTATTTGTCCTCTGTCAATTGAAAAACTGCCCTGAAGTTTCTGCCCCTAGTCGTCGTAGGATTCCCAGAACACTGCGAACAAACCATTATCAAGCAACCAAGGCAAACTCAACCGAAGACTAATTGAAATAAAAGACCAGGAAAAAAGAGAACAAAAACAAAATGACAGAGGTGGCGAAGGCACTCTTTCTAGCAGTGGTAAGCTCTGAGCAGGAGCAGAGGAGCAGTCCCTTTCATGGACAAGCGTGCTGGCAGCCCATTCCAAAAGAAAATCGTGGACAACTGGAATCAAACACTTTGGAATGGACTCATATCTTGAATGAACAATGAAAACAGAGCTGAGGTGGTTCGATTTAGTTGAGCATCATCGTGAGACTGTCACTGGCCAAAATTGACTGAGCATTGGCTGGTAACAAAGAACGCTGACCATAAATGGAAGACAGTGGAGGACAATTTGAGTTTTCTTAGAAAGAACTAAAGAGAGGGCAAGAAGAACCCCTTGAAATTTTAAAACCTCAGCAGCACTGAGGAGCTTCTGAAAGAGTGTGGATTCTATTTAGCACCATCTGTTTGCTCATGTGCCAGTTACCCACACACATGTAACTCACTATTGAAAAGGTTCAGCTGAGAAACATGGAATGCACACTGTACCACAGCGAGTGTGCATGCATTTGTACCATTTGCAAATTCTGGAAGCCCATATGAAACATTTAGTAACCCAGATCTGGGATTGATTGTAGCATATAGGTTCCTTATTTATCTTTAGCTTTATTTAGAGCTTTAGCAAAACCAGAAAGGAAAAGAAAAAAAAAAAAAGAAGAAAGAAAGAAAATAGAAACACCCTTAGAAGGAGTTAAACATTCGGTATTGCTCATGAGCGTGAGGAATGTTGAAAAGCATAAATAATTTCTAAAAATCTGACATCGTGTCTTAAGTTCTTTGTTCAGAAAAGCAAAAAAGCTCAAGTGATTTCCACATTGAATATGCTATTAAAATTTACATACTCTGGAAAAAAGGAAATTATTAACTCAAGCAATCTGGGACTTGAATATATTTACTTTAGAATATGACACCAGGAAGTATGAGGTTTCATTATTTCTTGGCCCAATTTAATCTTTGCCTAGAGCAGCTATCAAATTGCATGTAGTCTATATCTGCATGTATAGAACAGAAAGAAAAATGGGGGCGGGGGCGGCCATATGCAGCAGCATCAATAAAATGGTAAATGGTAAAAGACTTCAAATTTTAAGAAAAGAAATTTCCAAGGAGTAAGACATCATGACTTCATTGGGTATTCACAGCAATTCAGTCTTATGGTGCAAACTTCTGATGTATTTTTCTTTAGGATAAAGATCTGTGGTGTCCCAATCTCTGCTGGCTATGTTGTCTCTCTCAGCTTCCCCTCCCTTCTAGTCCTGGAGAAAGGACTCAGTAAACTCTCTTTTTTGAGAGCCAAAAAGTTTGCATTGGCACAGAGTCCAGTGTGGGGGAGAGTTTTTGCTTTAAAAAAATAAATTGTGAAATTAATATATACTGCAAGATACCCTGGAGGTGCTGGAWAATGATGAGATGCCCAGGGAAATGATTTGCACACACACACACATATATAAACCCCATACCTCCTCGTGTGCATTAAGTGGGTAGAGCTGTCTAAAGAAATGACCTGTTCTGCTGTTTCTGGGTGGAATCTCCTGAGTAATGCCTGTCTCTTAGGCAGGTTGCTTTTAAAAAGTTAGAGGTGGATATTTCAGATGCTTACTGCTATGACAGAAACTCCGGCTGCTGTGCTGTTCGGCTTGGGGCCTGTGTTGAAATGCTTCTTTATCTTTCCAGCTACTGACAGCTGATGTTCATTTTCTGGGAGGCCATCATCCTGGAGGGAAAAAAAGAAATAAGAAAAAAARKWAARRAARGRAAAAAAAAAAAGATACATGGGGAAACACGGCCAAAGTCTTCTAGTCCCAGGCTGTGATCTTAGATTTCTGGTGTCAGGAACAAAACAACCAAGGTCTTCCCATGAAACCTTGTTGGAAGTACTGCTCTGAGGTCTCATTCATTTCTATATCTGCCCTACAATTAATTTTCTCTGTGTCATCTGATCCTCAGAGGTGTGTTTCTAAACTTAGAAAAATAYCTAAATTTAATCTGAATCTTCTGGTCTAAATTTGAAAAATCGACTTTCAACCTTGGCTCAAGGAACTATGTTAAAGAAAATGTTAATCCATTAAAAAATCATAATCATCTGCCTATCTGTTTTTCCTCTCTCCTAACCCATCATTTAGACCCCAAACCAAGGGAACTGGCAGACCTGGAATTGTGTATGACTGTAAATAAACTTAGTCTTGTTCCACAGCTACTCAATATCCATTCTAAAAATTCCGGACAGTCTTCCAAGCTAAAAATTGTTCTTTAAGTTTTAAATCCTTTTTGCTGCCTTCAGATCATCTGTTATTATGACATATTCCATATCAGAGCTCATTTCAACTAAGGCTTCTGCTCTCTGCTGGAGCCATATATGACTGAGGCTGGACAAATTGCTCTCCTGCACTAAATACTGTTAGAATAACAATAGCCAGGGTCAAGTGTACACCACCACTTACTAGTTCATGATGAAAAGGCTGCATGATCCCTGAAGGCAGAGACTATGGAATCCCCAGGTCTTATCCTGGAGCTGTGGCTTAGAGTAGATGCTTAATAAATAATTATGGAGCAAATGAATGAATGGATAATAGTGTTTATTATTATCTGTTGAAACCAAAATCTTGGCAAGACTACCTCATTTTTCTTCTCTCTTTCCTCTCCATTATTTTGCACTTCATTTCTTGGCTCTACCCAGGAAAATACATCTGATGTTCTGCAAGCAAGACACRCTTGCTCTTTTTGCATGAGCTGGTCTCTTCAGATGGGGTTTACTCCTTCTTTCAGTAATTGGGCATTCACTTATTCAATGGACACTGACTGCAAGTTTATAGTGGACTAGGCATTGTGATAGGTGGTGGGAAACTGCTGGTGAGCAAAGAGAATTATGGGTCCTGCTTTCCTGGGTCCCATGTGCCCTCTTTTTCCTTGAAAACTTGGGTCTGAATGAAGTTTTCTCCAATTAAGTATAATATATTCTAATGGCTCTTCTGTAAGCCCTTAATGCTTTATCATTATATCAATTTGCCCTATTTATATTTTTTTGGTGTTAAGTGATTTATATCTATCTATCTATCTATCAATCAATCATCTATCATCCTTTCCCTTTTGTGCCATTTCTTCTAATTTTTTTTTTTATTTTAGAAGCACTTGGTTCAGTGTCCTGCACACAGTGGGCATTCAGTTTATGATATTCCTGGACTTACTGACTAATGACTAAGAGAAGTAACAGCATGTTTATTAGGATGCATCTGAAATCAAATCTGGAGGAAGAAGGTTTTCCAGCAATGCCGAGAGAATTTTAAAGAATTCTGTGTTGTGTAAAGAGTTAGAAATAAAGTGAAGACCAATTATGGTGGGATGATATTTGAGGAGGGAACAGAAACAGGGACATATGTAGCACCTTGTACGTAAAGAGCTATGTTAGGATTGGCAGGATGTGGGAGGAAGAAATGATCTCTGCCCACTAGAACCCTTCAGGCTAACTGGGAGAGAAAGTATGCACACACCATGTCAAGTAATAAAACAGATCAAGATTAAAAAAAAAAAAAAAAAAAGATCTGTCACAAGGCAGCTTCGCCTCATGGCTCAGCTAGAAACCCCAAAGGAATTCAGAGGAGAGAGGACACATTTCCCAATGTGAACACTCAGAACAGATTTCATGAGAGATATGGGATTTGACCTGGTCCTTAATGAAGGGGAGAAGGCTGACAGGGAGAGAGGAGGGAAGGGGATATTTTGGTACACAGTGGGTACAAGTAGAAGCCACTTATTGCTTGCCAAGCAGTAAGTCAACCAGTTTATCTCTAGGTAAGAGTTTATGGGGAAGAATAGTGGCAGAGAAAGCTAAAAGAATCGGAAAAGGTTGGACATAAGTAAGTACAAAAAAAAAAAAAAAACCCCAGAGATTGAAGTAGTGGTCTCAATTAGGAAAAAGGTGATGCTTTTTAATAAAAGGAATGTCAGCGTAGAGTATGTTTTATGCTACACCATCCAGTTGCTGACTCTACAAATAAAAGAGATGTTGGATGATAATCACAAAGAATTATGTGATCTGGAGTTTTATATATAAGGACAAATTCAATGGTGTATATTAAAAAAAACTAGTGGATGGAAAATCAGGTCTCAAGAATTTAAGTCAGACAATCCTCTTAGAATTGAATTTGGGGGATATTTGAACATTTGACAAGGCATGAAAAATGCTGGAAGTCTTAAAAATATTAGCATCATGACTCTGGCATGTTTGGGGTTCAGTGTCCTTCACACAGTGGGCATTCAATTTAAGATATTCTTGGACTTATTGATTAATGACTAAGAGAAGTAATAATGTACTCATTAGGATGCATCTGAAATCAAATCTGGAGTAAGAAGTTTTTCCAACAATGTAGAGAGAGTTTGAAAGAATTCTGTGTTGTGTAAAGAGTTAGAAATAAAGTGAAGATCAATTATGGTGGGATGATATTTGGGGAGGGAACAGAAACAGGGACATATGTTTAAAGGGGCCACCCTCCTACAGTGGTACCCCATGGGCCTCACAGCCAACATGGTACACGTACTTTTAACCATTTGTTAATAGAGTTCCAAGCTACCTTGAGAAAATTAATTTATATGAACTTGCAATTATTTTGAAAATCATGATCAGGAAGCAGGCAGAGAAAGGTGATGCAAAGGTTAAATGTTAGTAGCCCTGAGCTAAGGATTGTACATGTATGATCTCTTTCATCCTTCATCTAGCATCTACTATGTGTATTCTTAGTCCCATTTTGAAGATGAGCAAACTGAGGCTCAGAAAGGTGAAATCATTTGCACAAGGTCATACAGCTATAAAGTGCTTGAGTCAGGTATCCATCAAATCTGAAAATGTTCATTATCCCATACCACTTTGCATTCATTAGCTTGGTGTCCAAAAGAGGCCCCTCAGTATTAAGTGAAAATACTCAATGAATCATCTTTTCCATGATGAAAATCACACAATGGTGAGAGGGAATGAAAACTGAATTAGGGGCTAAAAAAAAAAAAACACCCCAGAGAATATTTGTATTGAATTTAATGGAGCCTGGGAAGCATCTGAAGATCAGTAAAAGGGCTGCTGAGCATGCCAGGGGAGGTTTCTTGTGGCATGTAGTTAGAAACTTCTAGGTCACCTGAAGACTGGGTGTGGCAATGTGACCTAATAGGTTGGCTCYAGGATCCTGTGTGCATCAGGCAGTCCTGGATGGAATGAGGTTGCACTTTGCCAACAGAGTGGACCTGTGATTAGTGGAGACTGTTTAACAACCTGGGTGCAAATAAGGAGAAAAGCATCTGGGTTTCCATAGGAGCAGCCTCTATTTGCCCTTTCTGAGGGAGACTCATCTCTTGTTGAAAAATTCCACGCCTGTGTCGCTTCCTGACCATTGGTATCTTTCCCAGAAATTTGCTTTTACCCTGTTCTTCCCCCACCCCTGGTCCCCCGTCAGTTCTTGAGCTCAGAGTTGGCTTTCTTATCGCCTCACAATGGACTTGGTTATCATTCCCCAGCCCTGTCTTGGTCCTAATCTCCTGTCAAGGTTCATAGCAACTCTTTTAGATGCTGGGGCCTGGGGGTTCAGGCTTCCAGTTTTAAATTCTAGTGAAGGTTCGCGCTTCCCTGGGGTTGTTAGTTTATGTTGAAGCAACAAAAGTAACGAAACAACACTCACAAGTTGTCAGAGATGCTTCTGACTTCATAAATCTGAAAACATTTCAGTGTTTTTTTTCCCCAATGAAATAAGGCATCTCATCTAAAGGAGGTAAAACACGCACATGTGCACACGCATACCCTGGCAACTCAAAAGTCTGCACCATTTCTCAATAAATTTCAAAGGTTTTCAGCCTAATTGGATTAAGAGACATAAACAACTGGCTTTGCAAGGATCTAATCTGTACCTGAGCCATATGGATTGATGGCAGAGATTTAGCTAACTTACTGTCTTGCATCCATAAAATAAATAGGGCCATTAAAAACATACATTTTTATATATACATCTTTATCGCCATTATTTAGAAGAGATTATGTGCCAAAAATGTGCTATGAATTTTCTAAACGTGACAAACCTGGCAATATTTTACAAATAGTTAGAGTATTATTACCATACGTTCTGGTTTGGGAGTAGTTTCTGAAGTTTGACACGGGATGGTTGTGGTTTGAGGTTAGTGGTTTTTGATTTAGAAATTCCCATCTACCACTTGGCAGAGCATTGCAACTGACAAGAACAAAATTAGTTTGCAAAATGGAAAATGAACTCTCACAGCTGTCTGCAGGAGACCCAACCTCCAGGTCTCTATTCTCTAGGGCTGGCTGGGGAAGAGCTGGGGGGAGGGTGGTGGGCTCGGATGTGAGGTCACTCAGTAGAGTGAATTTCCCTTTTTCCTTGGGGAAACCATCTCAGGGGTCATGCATTAGAAAATCTTCCTCCCCTTGTGGATTTGGGTTTTGAATCATGGATCTGGTTTCCAGTGTATTCATTGCCAGACTCTATTATTAATAATATCTGTAGATTTATGGGAAGCATGTCAGTCTGGAGTATTTTACTACCAGAATATTCTGATTCAGTTGAAAACAATTCCAAATTCATTAAAGTGCTCTTCAAGGGCAGTTCTATTTCACCCAGATTGTGCTGCCTCTTGGTTCTTGTTAACCATCCCCAGCTGCACAGAACCACAGCACCTTGGCCCTCTACAGCATGAACCTGTGCACTCCTTCAGTTCACACTG